TACCTTCAAGTGCCTTCCAACTGTTCGAAACGAAATTCGTCGTCACTGCGCCAGGACAAATGACAGTTACGTGAATGCCGTTACTGCTGACTTCCATCCGAAGACTATTCATGTACGCCTTAAAAAAATCGAAAATATTCTCTATCCTAAGTAAACCTTTTCCACTAAGAAAGGAAAGACGGATGACTTCGCGGAATCCGATCCATATGCGATCGAATAAAATGTGAATACATTCCGATCATGACGACATCAAAATGAGTTATATGTTTATTCAAGTTGCTCATAAAAGCGTGAAAAAGGGAATAAAATGTGGAATGTTACGAAAGCACTTTCCAGACTTCCCTCGATTTAAAAAATGCACACATTTTCCCAGTGGATAATTATTGCACAGAATACTTATGGATTTTTACAAAGGGTAGTATATGACTCTTTCGTGTTTCAATGAAAATAACTATGAAAATCCATGAACACGAATTTAAATTTTTGATGAAAGGTTTTACAGGTATAGAAATCATTTCTTCAGAATATTCCAGTTCTTTGCAGAGAACCAGCCTCATTATGAAGATATAAGAAGCGCACAAGGTGCTTTTGATTGCTTTTATGCTTTCGTATTATTTATATTTCTGTCAGACAATATTAAACTTCTTAATTATAAAAAGAATATCTCTGTTCACCATAAAACAAAGACCAGCAGTACATAACACATCATACAGAGAGAATAATTACTTTCTCTTCAACAAGTTTTGTTTTCAAGATTTTCCCGGTACAACGAAATTTAGGGTGAGGGGAGATCTCTATATGCCTATATGCAGGTTCCTACTAAAAAGAAATTTCTCGCTTTATTAAAAAGTGTTGTTTTGTTCCCTTGAATTTTTTATAGCGTATATCGAGTTAACCAGTAAATGAATTATGAATGCATGATACAAAGTTATTCGCTTTGAATCTCACGAACGCTATTTAAGTACTTCAAATCTCACCCAAAAAGATCGCCAACTTTCTTACATGAATGGCAGCCTTCGATGCGCAATATGAGGAAACGTTCGGAGCAGTCATATACGCCATCACGCTGGCGATTTGCACAAAATGTCCAGATTTTCGGGATATAAAATGGGGGAGAATTTCCTTAGTTAAACCGACAGCAGACATCGTGTTCAAGCTCATGATTGCTTCGTCCAGGAGGACATCCACTTGCGAGAATTCTCCTTGCACCATTCGACCAGCGTTGTTGACCAAGATGTCCAAGGTACCGAACTTGTTCATCACACTGCTGAACCATTTCGAATGATTCTCTCTCACTGTCACATCCCCGGAAAGCAGAAGAACATCCTCAATGCCTGTGCACGGGGATTTCATGGTGCCGATCGTGGATTTCACCTTTTCTAGTGAGTCTGAATTGAGATCAGTGAGGACCAAACGAACGGATTTCGAGGCCCAGTGCAAAGCCAGTGCTTTCCCGATTCCGCTTCCAGCTCCTGTGATCCATGCCACTTTGCCCCGCAAATTTTCTTCAAGTACACCATTTTTTAAAACGAAATTTCAGTTTCATTTTCCTGCATAAATTTGCTTTGCTGAACCACGTTCCACTCACCATCAGATTTGCCGAACGCCTCATAAAATCGTAACACGTAGTCTGAGTCTTGCATCAAATTCCAGCATAGAAACGCGATAACTACCGCGGCTACAACAATCTCGAATAACATTCTGAAAATCTCGGTCGTCTTTCTCTCACATGCAAAACAGAATAATACTCGTGATGGATCAGGCAAAACAGAGACGGCGTTCTTCATTCAAAGAAAGAGTCAAAATGAACATAAAACATCTCAATATCCTGCAGGTTTTCATTTAATACTTGATTTCATTGCTACGACGCTTCCATTGCACAAATGCCACCAAAAAGTCATTTCTCCAAGCGCTGTATGCAACATTTATTTTCTGGCGACTTTGTTCATTATTGCAGCAGTTCATTGTATCTATCAGCACCACAACTGTCGCAGTCTTGAAGTTTTGCTCCATCACAGCGATTCGATTGCCTCAGAAAAACTTTTCTCGGCACCAATACACGAATGGGGTTGTTTTCACTACAATCCTGTAGATAAATGAAACTTAATTCAGTCTCATTCAAGTAATGAAGCTGTAGAATCTTATGGTTACACGCCGCTGATGAAAATACCTCATCAATTTCGCAAAACACGAATAAACGGCACTTCCGATTTCAGAACTTTGGGATGTCTTCTCGATGGATGGTGTACTCAAAGAAAAGTAGTACAGTATAACTACAGTATATAACAGACCTAAACATGCAAGCTGACAATACTATCAGGGGATTTTTACATATTTAAAAAAATAGAATGATAATCATTTTCTTCAGTTCATGTCCGTGGGAAATTTTTAAATTCCTCCCAAAACTTTAAAACTGAAAATTATTAGCATCAACGAAAGGTAAGATATGTCATTGTTTCCGCTGTTGTTGATCAGCATTGACGACTCTTACGTGAATTGATATCAGATTTGCAAATTATTACCAAGATACTGTATATACAAACCGATGAACGCTGATGTGGGATGAATAACATGAAGACATATGGTTCTTGACCGTCAACAGTGCACAGTTTTAGTACGTAATAACTGAATAAAATAATCTTGGTTACACTTTAGAACAAATGAACGCTGAAAAGAAACAAATGAAATACAGTATGCGAAGCTCGTGGACAAGTGTTTAATCGAAAAGTAATCGATTATATATTTGTTAATGCAGTACAGTACTGTATTTACTCAAGTACTCTACCACGTGTACCTTTTTTTTTGGTCAAAATTGAGAGGAAAAAAGAGGTGCATGTCATATAGGCGGGTATACAGTACATTAATTTAAAAGTTTTCGAATTTTAGATGTTCATTATACAGTGCTCGTATTTGATTTCAAGGGAAAATTGTCGACCAATTTTAACCGAAGAAAAAAACGATTTTTTTATGGAAACAATGGAAAATTAGTTGAATTCAGGATCAAATCATGGTCTGTATTCCAATTTCTGTGTTCTTATTTTTGAAAAAGTTCAGTTTTGGACTTTTGGGGGCATTAAGAATGGGATGCGCGTCTGTAGTCATACTCTGGGATAAAATAAAATTTTTTAAAAATAGAAACCTCTGATACGCGTTTTACTCAAGGGCGCGTGGTATTATTCGAGTAAATACGCGGTAAATCGGACATCACTCATAATTCTGCTGAAACCATGTAATTTTTAAGTATACAATTAAATGTTCACCTTGTCATACATACAGGAATTCAGCAGCAGTTTCACACACTTTTAGGACTGTACATTTTTTTTTTCTCAAGTCCTCCTTCTTAAAATCTGTGATTTATGTATAACAGCAGCTTTTGCTGCGAATTATGAAGCGTCGTATACGCATGAACGCGCTGACGATATGTTTTCTCCATTTCGAAACATTTGAAATGCTTTCTAAGTGCTTCTCATCGAAAGAATCAGGAAAGTTTTTTCTTGTTTGTTATTACATATATATATATGTACAAAACCTTACCAAGTTAGAAGCGATGTTGGCATCCATGCAAAAAACCTGGCGACGACCAAGGCGGGATGAGTTGATATCCATGCCTCAGAAATCCGATTCACAACAGCGATGCTCATCAACTCAGCGCATCTCTCCGAACTCATGGGATTGACAATTTTTGGGTAATTCTCGGTCAGCTGAAAATGTTTTTCAAGAAAAATATATGATTTACACTAATTACCTCTAATTTTCAAGGATTGGAAATTTATGCGTCGTCGTTATTTCTTAAATTTTGCTGAATCCCCATCATTCCATGTTTCAATGACGCAGTGTCAAAGTTTCACAATATAAGCGCAGGAAAATATATGCTATTTTTGTCCTCAATAGCAACAAGGGAATCACGTACCGAATATTAATTTCGTCATTTTTCAGCAGAATAACAATAAGTGAATAAATGTCGCAGAACTCAAATGATACTCAAATAATTAGGATTGACTAATTTTACCCACGATAAAAGGTGAATCCCAAATATGTCTCACCGTTTGCTGTCCAGTGACATTTCGAAATCTGTTTTGCCCAATATTTGTTTGAATTAATCCAGGACAGATGACCGTCACACAAATATTCTCCTTCGTCACTTCCATTCGCAAGCAGTTCATGTAGGCCTGATACAAATAATTCAGTCAACTGAAATAACTCAATTTCGATGCTTCATTCACACGAAATAATTGCGCTTAAACGTTTGAAAATCTTGGAATTGATACCGCAGCTATGAATAAATAAATGTACGAACAATTGCAGGATATGATACAGCAATTGTTTTCAACATTTTTGGCAAAAATGTGCGGTATTCCCTTCTTCGGCAAGAAAAATACGCGTTCTACACACAGTATATTGTTATACATAAGTAAATTACTTGATGAGAGTTTATAAACTATGTATATCTATCTAATCGCGTGTTCGTTTATACAGACACAATTCACTCTTCACTCTTCAGAGTAATTGCTCATATATTCTTGAAAAGCTAGAGAAAACAAATTCAATAATATGGACATCTGAAAGTTCTAAAAGCATTTAATAAAGTGTACTAAATAAAAATAGATACATCACGGATACGTGAGAGAAGGTTGCTATACCGTATTTGAATAGTATACTTACGCGAATGGCGGCTTTTGAAGAGCAGTAGGCGGACAAGAATGGCAACGTAACGTAGCTCATGATGCTACAGGTTGTCACGACATAACCAGACTTTTTCTTGAGAAAGTGTGGCAGAACTTGCTTCGTCAAACCAACAACTGCCATAGTATTGATATCCATTATGTCTTTGTTCAACTCGAAAGGGACCGAGTCCAATTCTCCTTGAACGAGTCGACCAGCGTTGTTGACCAAGATGTCCAAGGTACCGAACTTGTTCATCACACTGTTGAACCATTTCGAGTGGTTCTCTCTCACTGTCACATCCCCGGAAAGCAGAAGAACATCCTCGATGCCTGTGTGCGGGGATTTCATGGCACCGATCGTGGATTTCACCTTTTCTAGTGAGTCTGAATTGAGATCAGTGAGGACCAAACGAACGGATTTCGAGGCCCAGTGCAAAGATGAGTCTGAATTGAGATCAGTGAGGACCAAACGAACGGATTTCGAGGCCCAATGCAAAGCCAGTGCTTTCCCGATTCCGCTTCCAGCTCCCGTGATCCATGCCACTTTGCCCCGCAAATTTTCTTCAGGTGCAACATTTTTTTAAAACAAAAATTCCGTTTCAATGTCCTGTGTCAATTTTCTTCGCTGAATCACGTTCCACTCACCATCAGATTTGCCGAATGCCTCGTAGAATCGTAACACGTAGTCTGCGTCTTGCAGTAGATTCCAGCAGAGAAACGCGATAATGATGGCTGTCACGCAAAATTCGAAAAACATTTCGAGTTGCTTACTATATGCAGTATTTTTAACTGGAATGCGTTATGATTGCTGCGTAAGCAAAACAACTTTTGAAAGTCAGGGATTGTATTTTAAGAAGTCAGGCAGATGATGAACTCCTGGAGTGGTTCAATAAGATGCTACGAAAACATCCTTCTGCCTCATAGATAAGAAGTGTTTTCAGATAAGGCGCTCTGAAATCAAACAGAGGTACAGTATATAACGTACTTCGTATACACGACTTCTAGAATTGCCCAAAAATGCAGCAGCGAGAAATATTTAGTCCCTTTCGTATACATCGGAAATTTTTGAAGAAAAACCTTCGAAAACAATCTATAAGTTCACGCAACGCCTTCATTTCGATTTTTCGAAATCCAAATTCATAATTGCGTTGACATTTATAAACAGTCATATTTATATGATGGTCTCTTTTACGAAAATAAAATGTACGCTTTTGTTTCTCGCCTGTTTACATCATAACCAATTCGACATTGACGAAAAAATGATAATTCACTTCCTCAACACGAAGAGAAATAATGATCGGAGTATAGTGATTTACGGTAATGCACAAAACCTATATGAATACTGATGTAACAGCCGTTTTAAAAAAACAGTAATGTATATCTCTAACTCAGTTCTGCAATATTTCAAATGATTCCCTTTTTCTTCGCCCATACAGAGAGTTTGAATCCCATTCGTCCGCACCTGAATAAATACAACAACAAAATTATTTGTGCAGTAGTTATTTTTAATTTTTTGCTGCATGAGCTTTAAAACGGTAATTCGAGTTATTATTCTTACCAATCAAAAATCCATGCCGGTATTATCATGGAAATGCGAAGGATACCGAGAAGGGGTTGAGTCGAGATCCACGCTTCGGATACTTGATTCACAACAGCGACTGTGATCAATTTCGCACAACGACGGGGTCCCATCGGGTTCAAGATTTTTGGGAAATCCCCTGTCAACTGTGATATCGGAATAAATCAAATAGATTTGACGACATGAGTATTCAAAAATAATAATTCTAAAACCGGAATATTTTGATGAGGATTATGTTCGTCCTCAGCAGGCCCCTTAAATTGTGTTAGAGCGAAACATAAATTCGCCACGTAATCGGTTTAAAAATTGGATAAAATGACTTTTCTCAAAATTATAACGCTGTATTTACTCGCAATGACCCTATATAAACCCAGTAAACAAACGAGATGAACGATGGAATTTTCGAACCATGGCAGTTTTTTTAATGTCGGGTGTGTCACGGAAACCAGCAATCACGTTTTCCGAAATTACTAATTATTTGAGAATATGGCTGCCTATTATGTTTCTTTTATTGCGGAAATCTGCGAAATATTATTTTGAAATAATATTCAGTGGTGAAACATTGAAACACATCAACTTTCGTCACGTTGCATTGATCACATTCGGGAAGTATTATATGTTAGATGCAAGATATATTCATCCCAATTCCACATTTCGAAAAAAACCGAATTCTTTTTAAATTGCCAACAGTTATGCGATCTGTAAAAATACAACCATAATAAACGTGCCCCACGTATAAATATTTTCCCGAAAATCATTTTTAAAGATAATCAAATGAAGAGAAACTGAAAATGTTCCAAGGAATGTCTCAAGAACTCGTCAGAAAATCACAAATTCACACCATAAAAAATCGGAAAAATTTTTATTTTCCCGTTCACAGTGTATATATATGGAGGCAGATTTTTGACGAAGAAAGATCGACTGCTTTTCAAAAATTTCTAACATGCTCACCAGATGTACTCCTTCTTCATTTTGGAATGCATGATGAGCAATACTGGTCTGAATTGCTCCGGGGCAAATTACAGTAACAGCAACGTTATGCTTCTTCACTTCCATTCGTAGACTTCTCATGTATACCTGATGATCACCGCATAAACGTACGAGTCACAAAAGCTCTGATAGATTTTTCTTCAGTATAATTTTTCTAAACTAAATACTGTACTGTACTGATGTACAAATATTTAATACCGTATATTGAGGAACTGTATACACGTATCACGTTGATCACTTCACACTTATTGATGATGATTTACATGACGTTACCAGTGACGAGCAAAAGAAATAAAAAAATTCAGCGTTTATATATTTACATTACGGAGATCTAAAACGTTTTGTTGATTTCAACTCATGATACATCAGTACAATGAGAGTTTTCTTGGCTGTTCTCAGTCGAAGTATACATATTTTGAATCGTATTATGGAGTCTATGCGAGGAACAAAATATCGAAAAAATAGCATTCAACTAGACTCACCAGGACGGCAGCTTTTGAGGCACAATATGCAGAAACATTTGGGATGACCAGATGGCCAAGAATACTACTGGTGGTCACAATATGGCCGCTCTTCTTTTTTATAAAATGAGGCAGCACTTCCTTAGTCAAGCCGACTGGTGCCATTGTGTTCACATTCATCAACGCCTCGTCGATATCAAATGCCACAGTGGAGAAATCTCCTTGAACGACACGTCCGGCGTTGTTGACCAAGATGTCCAAGGTACCAAACTTGTTCATCACACTGTTGAACCATTTCGAATGATTCTCTCTCACTGTCACATCCCCGGAAAGGAGAAGAACATCCTCAATGCCTGTGTGCGGGGATTTCATGGCACCGATCGTGGATTTCACCTTTTCTAGTGAGTCTGAATTGAGATCAGTGAGGACCAAACGAACGGATTTCGAGGCCCAGTGCAAAGAAGAAGAACATCCTCGATGCCTGTGTGCGGGGATTTCATGGCACCGATCGTGGATTTCACCTTTTCTAGTGAGTCTGAATTGAGATCAGTGAGGACCAAACGAACGGATTTCGAGGCCCAGTGCAAAGCCAGTGCTTTCCCGATTCCGCTTCCAGCTCCCGTGATCCATGCCACTTTGCCCCGCAAATTTTCTTCAAGTACAACATATTTTAAAAATGAAATTTCCGTTTCAATTTGCTGCGTCAATTTTCTGCGCTGAATCACGTTCCACTCACCATCAGATTTGCCGAATGCCTCGTAAAATCGTAACACGTAGTCTGAGTCTTGCAGCAGATTCCAGCAGAGAAACCCGATGATCGCCGCCGCGCAAAGTTCACAAAACATGATGATGAGTTATTGTGCAATGTTTGCACTGTACCTTATAGGTCATATGGAAGCATGCTTCAACTGAAAGCAGCAAAATACATTTTAAAATTGGAGCGTCTCTCACGTGAAGAGATTATACCTTCACGAGACACTCGAAAGGTCATACAAGACCGAATGTTTTCTGCACTGATAAGAAATACACTCAGCAGATAAGATGTCGCGAACTTGAACAAAAACAAAAGCTGCTTCTGAATTTGTTTCCCTCAGTACTGCCCGACATCATGAAAAGGCTTCAAATATGAAGCGAATAATCTCGAGACATTACAGTTAAGATCTCTCCAAAATAATTTTCGCGGACGAACAATTTTTTAAAAATGGTGAAGAATGAACCCTATAGTCATATAATTAATTTTCAACGTTGATGAAAAATGCTCATTTTATATTCTCAGTCACCGGTCACGTAACGCACGAAATGCAAAATTCATATGAAAGGATATCTCTCGATTTAAAAAATGGAAATAATGATTGAGCCATCATCAGCAATGATCAATTTTTTCTTAGACCGATGATTACAGCACCTCACATAAACAGCCTCAAAAATCGCCAACTGCGGTGTTTTCATCATCATCATCAGCAGGTATATTTCAGGCAAAACAATCATGTCTGATGTTGATTGGACTGTTCTCTTCTGCTTGCCCATAAAATGATTGCGTACGAAGTCCTAACAATCCTGCAGAAATTAAAAAAAGGTTTTCTTGAATTGTTCCTTGTTTGTTGTCATATTTGAAACGAAACTCGCCAAAGTTTACTAACCAATCGGAAATAAATGCTGGTGTACCCGTAATTACCCGTACTGTACTGAGAACCGGATGAGTCGCGAGCCATACCTCGGACACTTGATTCACAACAGCGCAACTGACATCAATTCGGCACAACGACGAGCCCTCATAGGCTTAAGGAGTTTTGAGAAATTCTCTGTGAGCTTTGAGAAATACTGTAACGTCAAGCAATTATCAAATTGAAAGAAAAAAATCCACCGTAAAATATTCTTTGCGGCAGGAAGAGATCAATGAGGATGAATGAATTATATGGCTGCTGTGCAAACAAACGACGTACGTATTTGCGACGAAATAAATACTTTCAACGGCAGACCATTTCTTTTGATGAAAAAAGAACCTCTTCCGCGTTTAAAGGCATTTTGTGCAATGCTGGTTTCAACTGTCCCAGGGCAAATTACAGTGACGGCAATATTATGATTTCTCAACTCCATTCGAAGACATCGCATGTATACCTAGTATAAAACAGCAAATTAGATGTGTCATGTGTTATCAGAACAACGAAGGACTCATTAAATTGGATTTATTGAATCAATTGTCATCATGTCAATCACCAATGCATCAAACAAATTTGACATGATGCCCGAGCAGAGGGCTTCAGAAGAATTCGATCCGGATGAGGCGATACCTATGTGAAGCTGAAGTAAGTTTCAGATCGGAATATTTCCAGATATGTATAGAGGCTATTATAACCAATGCAAATCCTGTTTTCATTGCATAACATTGGTATACTGTACAGTACTTAAATTAAATATCTTCCTTTATTCATCTTACCTTTTTACGTACTTTTTCACTTATGAACCTCTCCCATATACTCCACCTGCGTCATCTAGACATAACCGAGAAATGTCTTGCACGCCACCATCATGCACATAAGGTACCAATGTACCACAATTTTGGAATGATCTTTTAGAAAATGTCCCCACCCGTGGCCTGCGGACTAACGCTAATCCACAAAAATGTTTTGAGGGCTTAAAAAAAAGTTTCTTCTGCTTAATAAATTTATCAAAAGTAGAAATGAAGCATGTCTTCATCTGAAATTTCAGAAAACAATGGCAGATGAAATTATCTGATCAAATATAAAAATGGGCTTTTCTCTTAACAACACTTCAGAAAAATTATCACCTCCTGAAATAAATCATTTCAATTTTAACACGTTTTTATTAACTTGCTTTCTTGTCCGTATTTGAAAATGTGGTTTTTTAGATTAATTTTTTAATCTACTAAATTTTTTTCTTTCAACCTTCATTCAAGCCCTCCTTTCTCAGCTTTGAATATGTTTCGCTTTAGCTGCTTAATTGGTTCTTAGCCTAATTTTTGCACACAAAAAAAGCAGAAACTTTTTCGACGCCTGCCATAGAGTCTTTCAAGCAGCACTTTTTTGAGTCAGCGAACATTTTATGAAACTTTGCAGGTCTGCAGAAACTTTTTTGAAATTTGCTCGTCTGCAAAATATTTTATTTAAATTTGTCTGTTCCGTGGGCCAAAAAAGGTTGGGGAACACTGTTTTAGAACACCCAAAAAAGTCCCCAATGCTTTCTGAGAATAAGCACGGCGTCATATTTCACAAAGGTGTAAAGTTCATCCGTTTTGCTCGCGTCATATTTAACCATGATGCTTTCATAATCGCGAATCATGAATAAATCAGTTTTTCATTGGTTTCACCTCAATTAAATTCGAGGGGGAAAATGGAGTACACAGCGCAGGGAAAAGAGAAATAACGTAAAATTATTCACCAAAATGGCAGCTTTTGAGGCACAATAAGCAGATACGGTAGGGAAAGCAGCTCGGGTAAAAAGACTGCTGGTATAGTCACGACATGGCCACTTTTCTTCTCCATGAAGTGAGGCAGCACTTCTTTCGTCAATCCCACTGGCGCGATTGTATTCAGATCCAATATTGCTGCGTCAATATCAAGGGCCACTTTGTGAAGCTCTCCTTCAACCGTTCGTCCCGCATTGTTGACTATAGAATGTTCAACTTGCAGAACTTGTTCAACACTTTTCTGAACCACGCCGAGTAGTTCTCTCGCACTGTCACATCCCCGGGGAGCAGAAGAACATCGTCGACACTCGTACAAGGGGATTCCATGGCAGCAATGGAGTCTTTCAAAATATCCAACGACTCTGCATTGAGATCAGTTAGCACCAGACGAACGGATTTCGGTGCCCAGTACAAAGCCAGCTCCTTGCCGATCCCGCTTCCAGCACCTGTGATCCATGTGACTTTTCCTTGCAAAGTTTCTAAAAAAAATTTTTTTGGCATACTTTAATGGGAAAACAAATACACGAAGGGTTTGGAAAAAGTTCTCTGGGGATAGAAATTGAAACGGGACATAACTGGGCTAAAAAAGAAAGTATTGTTCAGAAAAAAAACAAAATATTCTGACATAGGAAAAAAGTCATCCCTGTTTGACACACTTTTTATAAACAGCTTTCTGCTCTTTACTCGAAAAATGATGCGCCCATTTTGCAGATTTTTGTTGTAGCTTGGCTACAGAATTCTTCTGTATCGGCATGACAATGATTCCAACGGTTGCCTCAATCATGTCCTCCGATGGAATGCCGCCATTTTCATCAACAGCCACCTTCACAGCCGCCACATTCTCATCCCAAGAAGTGGTGGCTGTGAAGGCAGCTGTGAAAAAATGGCGGAATTAAGATCATTTAATGGTGACGATGCTTTTTTCTGAAACTAATTATTTTTACGGCTCAATTTTATATGCCCTTTCAATTGCTTTTCCTCGAACGTTTGCGGTTTGAACCTTCGAGAATTTCACTGTCAGATTTTCCAAACGTCTCATAGAATCGTAACACGTAGTCAGCATCTTGGAATAGACTCCATACAGCAAAGGAGCACCAAAAATAATGCAGTCAGCCAAATTATATGGATCCAGAAAATCGCGCAGCAGTGAATTCCTCACGACAAATGAAAAATGCTGACGCTACTATACAGTATAACAGCATTTGCCTTAGGTAACAAAGACAAGTTCAAATTTATTGATTTCCGTAGACAGTACTGTATGGTAAGTAGCACAGTAGAATCTCTTTACAAACGAAGCGCTTGGAACCGTGAGAAAGCTTCTTTAAACACAAAAATTCGATAAAACTAAATCAAAATAGCGTTTTGACAATACAGCAGTACTGTAATATAGACAGGAACCGAAAAAAAAACGTAGAAAGAATTGAGTGGTTGCGATTAAGAACTCTTGAAGTACAGTACATTCTACCTTCTTCTGGACACTTCATCCTTCAGCAACCCTTTTTGTAACAACAAAATGCTTTTAATTATCCACGGAAGTCTTTTTCTGGGCAAAATGTAATAACTTTTTCAGCATCAATAATTAAGGGAATGAATGGATGGTGATGATTGTTCGAATCTTCCGAAAGGAGGTGGTTGAATAAGCTCCTTGCAAGCAATAAATGCAGCACGCATCACGTCACAAAAAACCTCGAAAAACTTCCCAAGGCCTATTTGAAACACATCATTCGGTATTTCTTCTAATCTGAGTTTTTATATGAACATTTACTTTTCTCGCTAATAATTTTTAACATAATTCGTGGGAGAAAAAAACAATTTGCTTTCATTCGAGATCCTTTTTTAGCCCGGGAAAAATACTTTTTGAGCACTAAATTAGAGGCAGAGGGACTTCAGAGTGGAGGACTGACCGTGAATATAGTGTACATCGCTGTGCTACAATAAAATAAGTTTCCTCGAACAAAGAGGAAGTACCTAAATTATATGCACAAGGTTCATACTTTTTTCTCCAAATGCGAGTTTTATTCAAGGGACTAATTCACACAGTTGCTGCATTCTGCAAAGCGTCACTGCATGCTGGAATCTTTGCGTTTCATTCCGCCATCTTGCCACACACACAAAAAAAAGTTGCAGCGAGCTTCAAAAGTGAGCAATTCTGCAATCCGCATCGCTCGGGTCTATACACTCGGAGCCATTCCTTCCACGAACGCGGATGCACCATTATCACGTCATGCACGGCGCACGCGTCCACATAAATCGTATCTAAATTGCGCGACGAACATAACTATAGTTGGACATATGGCTCCAGTATTGTTCCTAAATTTCAGATGACACTGTAGCATAACCTATAAGCAAACGCACAGCACTTGGAACACGCTTCCGCGCACCACAGTACAGTGTGCCTCGATTGATGAGCTTCCGTGTGTTCGACCAAGAATTCCCATGGCGGGGAAACATGCCCATGGTTGAAGGAGATACAGTACTGTACAGCAGGACTGCGTTATTGCGAAAACTCAAGCCTCCAACTCCAAGACTTTTATGTTCATCTCTAAGGATAGCCTTTACTTGGAGAGGGACGAATAGCAGCGAGGGAGCTGAGCGGGAATCGTCCAAGTCAAAGAGAGGGAGCGGCGAAGGAAAAATTGTGAAACTCGCGTCTTGGACTGTACCTGGGTCAACGTCACTCAACCGCTCCAGGTTCGCTGCTGCGCTCTGTGATACAATTGAGAAACGAGCTTGAAATATTGCACTCTACTGTACAGCTATAGTGACGCACGAACAGTTTACTATACCGCATTATTAGCTGCTTAACAGGCTGTCTGCACAATCCAACCGCGGTAGATGACATCAACTTTTTCCTCAGCTTATGCGTTGATTAGCAACCTATAATTTGAGATTTGATTACTTGGAATATGCAGCTTGCAGTACATGGAAATCACTTGTATATTTCAGATATTTGCGCGGTGCTTAATACTACAATAACTATACGATCTAACAAAATGTGATGACAGTGACATCTAGATAAAAACTATTTCAAAATTACTCTTTGTTTTCAGAAAAGTCGTAGGCGAAGCGCAACGCTGTAGAGCTCCTGGCTACTGAGTCAGATTCGTACATGCAGGTTTTCTGGTATACATCGGACAGGTACTTCACCCACTACCCCGTCTACCCGTGGCGTTTATCAGTGCCGTGCATTCTTGAAAAGTTGAGAAGCTGGTTGAATTCCCGTAACCAGTTCCAAGTTTCCTGTTCGGAGGAGCATAGGTGTTGTAGGGTGGTAACGAGGCTTCAATATCCCTCATTCAGTTGTTTCCTTTGAATTGTGAAGCGTCCGAGCAGTTGTTGATTGCGTACAAAAGAGATTCGGTGATTTTGTATCAGTGAAATGTTCCGGAAAGTTGAGAAGTGTTGCTTGCAAGAAAATGGTTTCTTTCCGAGTAGATCTTGATTTTTGTCTGTTGGATATGTTTCGCTTTATTTTGTTCTCTGAACAAGTGTCAGAACTGTCGAGGTAGATGTCGATTATGTAAATTCAGTTTGAAGTATCGTACTTGTGTTCATGCAATCATGCGGAATGCAGGTAGACTATCTCTGAAACGTTTTCTGTGCATAACGTTTTTTTTTTTTGTCCCGTAGTGGTTCTCCACCATTTCGTTACGGGTTCTCTACGACAAATTCTTATCTGAATTTCGTTGTTGAGAGAGTTCATCTGTATTCAAAATTTTTGAAGCATTCATATCCAATGCGTTCGATATTTGTTGGCGGTACAATTTCCGCGTTTCCCTAAACGTCAACAACGCAAAATTCTCTATGCAATTGCCATGCACAATTTTTTTTCGATTTCTTCGTTTTACAGGATCCGGCTGTTATGATTTTTGATTCTTCTCAAGCTTCTTATGTGTGCTAGGGTTTGGAAATTCAATACTGTACTATACAGTACTGTAGAAGAAACTTTTTCGCATCCGGCAAGCTGCAGAATAAATATACTGTACAGTACATTGTAAATTTGAATTCTCTTGAATAGGAGCATCAAACGGATTGGAAATTTCACCGTCCGGATAATTGAATGCCTTAATCAATTCGCACTTGTGATGTAATTACCGTACTTCATGCAGAATTTATCCTCATTGAACGGAAAGCCTTGATATTGAACGCTAATGATACTTAGCGTGAGTATATGAATAGTTGGGATTTTGACCATTCTCCCGATAAATTCTTTCAGTTTTGCCTTTTTCGTCTTTCTTATTTTTTTTGTTTGCTTCACGCCCAGCTCTGTACAGTATAGTAATCAGTGTAATCTGTTCTCAAACCTGATCACTACGTTGTGAAGCAAAAAGCGCACTTATATCTGATACAGTACTTCACATAATCTTCAAGGCGCCATGTTGCTTTCGTGTCCGATTTGTCTGGATGATCCTGTTTTCATGACAAAGATGTTTGTATCTACCCCATGTGGGCATGTTTTTCATAAGGAATGCGTCAATAAGCTGATACCGTGAGTACTGTGGTCGGATTCCCAGAAAACTGCATTCTGTACATGATTTTCGACGTAATTTTACTTCTGCAGAAGGAGTGTTGGCACAGTTTCCGGCTTGGATCCTCCCTTCGTATTCGTCATCGAGTGCCCGCAATGTCGTCAAATCGTAAAAAAAGAAAGCGTCATGCCCATTGTCGAATACCATCAGGCATGCAAGGTGAGGAAGTTTTCTCGGGTATTTACAACGTTCACAATATATTTACCTGTAATTCTCAATGCTGTACTTGGAAGTGAGTAGTGATTGATCTAAAATTGAATACAATGTTGTCTCTTCTTCTGTAAATCTGTAATTTTATTTTGCTTAATCGCAATCAGCTGAGGCCGAGCATACGGAATGAATAACGCTTGAATTAAAACTCGCTTCCTCCTGCCGAAATCGGCATTTTTTATTGAGTTTGACGCGCCTTTCATTATTCCTTCAATGAAAACCCAATTAAATCTCTCGTTTTTTAAATGATTTGTGCTGAAGCAAATATGAGAGAAAAGAAGTAAAACGACGTGAGCTTTCAGATGAACGGGTTTCCCTGTTTCACGTGTGTCTGTGGTTTCTATTCTTCAGTCCCGGGAGCTCGTTGCTTCTCAAAGGATTGAAAAGAAATTTGGTACAGTTGGAAACGCTAATGATACCCAAGCTAAACGTTGCCAACTTTTAAGTGGCATGCAGGTGGATTTATTATTCAAACTGCAGCGCCAGCTAGAAGAAGAGGAAAAGAAGTTTTTGTTGGCGACTGATCGCGAAGTCAAAGAGCAGGACCGCTTGCATAGCTTGAAATCTGTATTGAACCACGAAAGAGGATCAATTTCGGGCTTGAAGGCGCATGTGAGGTTTCTGAAAGCTGAATATAAAGCTGAGTCGGATGCGATAAAGCAGACTCAACCGGAACTGAAAAAATTGGAAGCAGAGTTGCTTTTGTTGGAGCGTCGTCGAAGATGCATTCGTCGTAAATTCGTAATGATAAGTAAGTTGATGGTTATATATACAGTACTTCATGTACTTTATCCATGCATCTTCGCCATATGCTGTATGATGGAACATTTATAGGTGCTGGTTTCTTTCTTATAGCTGCTCCTTTGGTTGTTATTGTCAGATAATTTTTATGATTGAAAACTGCGGGTTACGTTATGTATTTGCTGGTGCTCTTATGGGAGGGGAATATTTCCATGCGAAGTGCGAAAGATCTCAAATTTCAACCGCGAGGTCTTGGTGAATCCCTGACCAGCTTCAAGACTATCTGACCACACTTACTGTAAACCTGTACTCCGTTTTTGAATTATTATTAGTGCCTGCTGCTGTTGTGAAGTATGTGTACGTGTACGTGTATGTTCGGACGAAGATAAAAGGCTGGCTTTCCACAGATTCAGATCCTGTTGAATCACAGCAGAACCCTTCGGATTTTGCTGTGTGAGACCTATTCATCAGAATTGGAATTCGAACGCTTCTTCTACAAGCATTCCTAGGTTGCAATGGACCTCCATGCTCAAGCTGCTAAGTGTTGGTTTCTGTAGTTGGATGAGACGCGAGAAAGTGAGACTCCTCAAACTTTAAATCTTGCGACTTTCTGCTAACTGGTCTGTCTATACTGAAGTCGTGTAATTGACGCGAATCGTTCTTCGTCCGACGAGAAAATAAATTCTTTTGCGAATACTTGCGATTTGCGTTGGTATGTCCAGCGATTATGGGATTTCATGTTACGCATTTCGTTTCAGCTAGTTGCATAGATGCTGTATGTTCAACAGAATGATACGATCAGTAAATTCTGCATGTGGCAATCTATAGCATACTTCTATTCTATGTGTGCGAACTGCGAAGAAATACTTTCGTGTTGTATTTTTACAAAGTTATAAAATCTGTAGCGCATTTATGTTTTGTTTGCCGTATCTGCAGGGAGAAAATCGCCATGAATATATAAGCGGTATAAATCACAAAAGAAGCGAAGAACTCATCCATTTAAAGGTTCAATATATATTCTCATAACATGCATGGAAACAACTTCCACAAAAAAATTTTGCACAATGATATGAAACACCGGAATCTTGGTTGCGGAACAAGAGTGCATGAGATTTCGAAAAAAATGAACAAGGAACAACTTTGGAGCCTATTTCGGAGAAGCAATGGGTGCAATAGTGGAACAATAAACGGTTGGAGGAAAAGGGGTCTGAACAAAAAAAAAAAAAAGGTTGAAAAACTGTAGTAATAAGATACAAACAAATGATGCAAGACTGAAAAGAACTGATCTTGGTAGAATGACTTGTGAGGACTGCGGATTTGTATCGGGAAAAGGAATTGACCGATTCGGAGGTAGTTCATCAGATGTAAAACGGAATCGCATGGATGCAATCGAGGGGGGGGGGGTGTATGTCTGCGCAAAATTGCTAATTGGGAATGATCGGTTGAAAAAAAATCGCGTCAAAACTACTTCTGCAGAAACTCAATTTTAAATCATTCGGTTCAAAGCCTCACATTGTGCAATATCCCGTGGTGCAAAAGAAGGGAGTGTGAAAAGCGGTATAGCAGAACAAAACTCGGCTCCAGTGTAGAAGCCAATGACTAGATGAGACCTGCCAATCAAAACTCAAGACTCAAACAATATCTGTACCATAACGTGCAAGGCCAAGAAATTACAGGAAAGGTAAACAATTGCTTGAATTGCTTTGAGGTCCAGTGTGTTCTGAAATGTGGGAAAAATCTCAACTGTACTATTTCAACCAATGTTGGAAAATCCTGCGCATGTTTGTGTGGATGACAAATCATCCATTTTTCCGAGAAATAAAATTTGAATTCGGGGTGAGGAATGAGGGATAGCAAGCCTGTGATCGGATGAAAAAATTCGCGGAACCCAAAAATAAAATGTACAATCGAAATATCACAGATTTCCCAGCACTTTTTCCGTATAGCACTCCTTGCAAAACAAAAAAGATCCACTTCGAAGACTCGTATTTTTTCCGACTATTGTAATAAAAAGCTCAATCAAAAAATGTCCGAAACAAATTTTGGAAGAGAAACTCTATCTCTTGGTGGGCTTGACAAGGAAAAAAACAAAGCGTTTCAAACGCAAAATTAGGTTGGGAATCAACAGCAAAAAAAATTCGGGCACAAAAACTCTGTACAAAACTCTGGCCCTAACTAAAATTTCCTCCCTGCTGTTTATACACGCGTAAAAAAATAAACACAACAACGAAAATAAAAGTAGTAATACATGATAAACTATAGAACTTCATCAACGTGTACAATTATGAACAAAATTTTGGTGTAGCTCGTTGGAAGAATTCGCAAAAAATAAAAAAGAACTTCTTGGGAGAGTAAATCTATGGAGTGCTTTTAAAAATTAAAACTAGTGCGGCCAGTTTTGGTTCGGAGTTCATGAACAAAAATATGTTTCACGGAATCTTTTGGTAACTTCAGTTTTTCAATTTCACCTGATCATTTCACGGAATGCTTTGAGGACGGAGCAAAAAACTGCTACTTTTGGCGAAATGCTCGCGAACACGAGCAACTGGTTTTGAATACTGCTTGGAAACCTGGTTCCTAATGCTGCAGCAGAAATGGCTAAGGTTTTCGAGGACAGAATGCTTCCAGGAGAAAAACAAAAGAGGCAAATAACAGGAGAAAAAAAAAGTTCTTGAGCACTGTTCATATTGAGCAACTCTTGGGGAAAGCATACTGTACAGGAGTCGAATTGATGTAAGAAAAAGGAACCAGTTCTGAATGGTCAGGATTTGATTCTGGAAGAGGGTTTTAACAATTGGTAGGAAGAAATGTGTTTTGGAACCGGGGAAACAAAACTGGTCTGCCTCTTATGAAACAAAGATAGGGGGATTTCTAAGATGCAACGAGCTGCACACAATTATACCTTGGAGGCCTTCTTGGCATCTTTTGGGCTCTCCACCAAGAGTCCTGTGCTCTTGAGTGCCTTCTTGAGCTCCTTGGACAGAACCTGATGGGTTGCCGACCTTTTCACGTAGTCGGCTGACCCACCATTGTTGTCACCGTATTCTACGAGGAATGCGTTGTCGTTGCCTGTGGCAGCCGCGCCTTGGTAAGGTGGGTACACGTTGTTGACGTCTAGAGCGCTGTCGAAAACCTGCGGCGAAAGAACATCGACAAAACCCGAACTTCACTCACTGATCACATCTTCAGGATTACACACATTCATCCATCACATGTATTATTCCCTTTTCACCACAGAATCGAATCTCTACAGATCTACTATACTCTAATCTTAGGAGAAGACACTAACGTCATCTGTATAATGACCACTTCAAAGAATCAAAGCCCTAAAGAAACAGTGCGACTCGTTCAATCAACACCCAAACTTCAGAGAAGCGTTGTTTGAAGAACGATACACCGTGCAGAAACTCAATTCCTGTTGGTGTTCGGGAAGATAATGAAAACAGACAACATTATATGAATAAGGAGCTCCGCCAGTTCAAGCCTCGCAGTTGATCCAGGTGACCACAGAAGCACCCAAGCACCACCAGTGCAGCAATATAAGCCATCGCGGAAAGGATTTTCAACGAAACCCTCTCCTTCATTCTTAACTAATGACTACTTTCACGGCTACAAAAGTTTCAACGACCATGGCTAAAAGTAATGATCAACTTCATCTACAGAAGAACAACTTCAAGAAGTAATACACATCAGCGCATGACACACTGTCGTCATCTTCGCTTAGCTCAATTATTGCTCAAGCTGAGGGGCATTGGAAGTTATGCTGAGCGCAGTGTGCAGTAGAGCATGTACTGTACAAGCTAGTTAAACTACAGGTACATGTGAAAACTAAGCATCAAGAAGACTTGACAGAGATGTCGCTCTACTACGAAGCACTGCACGGGCTTTCGAAAACTTTCAGAAGATCCTCTCATCACGAACGCACGAGACTTTAATAGCAGTTTAGTGCTTTAACATGCAAGGATAATGACAAGGGCTCAAACTTTCATCATAAAATTAATTTTTTGCTTCAAAGGGCTTTAAGAATTCCTGATTTCAATGAATGGGATATCAGAGCGACAGTACTGGTGCATCTTACACTTTTCGTGATAATAATAGCCTCTTTCCAAAATTTACTCGGAACAGCTGAATACTGTATACACTTACTGAGAATTATTATGATTCACACGATAATTTATTTCATTTCATGTAAGAAAGAATTAAAGGGTAAGAAGCCTAGTTTTTGGTAGTCTACCGGCCAAGAAAAAAAGCGCATCAGCAGTGATGTGTAAAAAAGAAAAAGGTAGAAGAAGGAGAAGAACAATAGTGAAGAGTGATGAGAAGCAAGATCAAAAATCAAAAGCGGTGCAGAAGACTAATTAGAGGCTACAAAGCAAGCGAGCAAGCTAGAGCAAGCTTCCGCCGCTTGATGTCGCCTCCGTGCTGGCTATGCTGCGGATCACGTGCTCTCCGCATTTTCTTTCCGCAGGCTCGGACCCGTTCGTCAGCAGCAACAACACCAACCTCGGGCCCGGCGACCTGCGTCGGACTGACCTCATGGGTCACCGGCTCTGGCCTAACAATCGCGTAGTTGGCGACTCGTCCACCACTGTCGCCGCCGCCAGCAGCACTGCCGCCTCCTGCTCCTGTTTTAAGACCGCTTGTCGCGGCGAGATTCGGCGCCAGCACCTGGTGGAACGGATCGAGAATCACCTTTGCACTGCTGGCGACGCTGGGGGAATACACGCGTCCGATGCCGCCTCCGTATCCGCCGCCGACGCCTCCCAGCAAGCCCGACGACCCGGAGCTGGAGCCGCCATAACCGCCGCCGCCGATGCTGCCAATGCCGCCGAGTTGTCCGCCGCTGGCATAGATGGGCAATGTGGATCCAAGACTGCCGCTGCTCGAGTGTCCGCCTCCGATACTGCCGCCCACAAGCCCGCCGCCGAGTTCACTGGATCCCGAGTGATGATGACTGTGTTGGTGCACGTGGTGGAGTCCTCCAAGGCCGCCACTGCCGCCGCTGCTGTGTCCGACTGCGATTCCGTGGTGTGCACCTCCATAGCCGCCACTGCCGCCGGAGCTGCTTTGGATCCCGTGGTGCACGTGCTTGTGTCCGTGTCCGCCGTAGCCGCCGCTACTGCTGTGTGCGTGTCCGAAAGACGGGGCGCCGTAGGCCTTGACTGGTGCGCCGTAGGACTTCGTGGGGGCGCCGTACGAGTGTGTGGGGGCGCCGTAGGAGTGAGACGGGGCGCCGTAGGAGTGGGAAGGAGCAGCATAACCGCCGGAAGAGGAGGATGAGGACGAAGGTGCGTAGCCAGAGGAAGAGCTGGAGTCGCCGAAGCCAAAGAACTTCTTCAATTTCTTGCCGAAGCCGCCGGAGCCGCCCTTGCCGCCGCCCTTGCCTCCCTTGCCGCCTCCCTTGCCGCCCTTCTTGCCGCTGGAAGAGGATCCCGAAGATGAAGAACCAGAGGAGCT